TATAAGATACCATAATTATGATGTTACTTCCATATGAAGATTTGACTATACAATATTTCAAAAATTACTATCATTTTTTTAAGTTGTTACCATAAAAAGGAATTTGTACGCTTAACAATTTATCAATTTTACAAATATAAATTGAAATTAATGCAAAAGCTATCAATTTTACAAATACAAATCGAGATTAATGCACACCAAAATTATGTGACAAATAAAAAGAAACTTTATATGTAATTGAGATCAACGACGAACACTGATGACTTTTTCTATTAATATTTACAATGTGTATTTAATATTTTTTTAGAAAAATATTCTTTCTAAGTGTGATATGTAAATATTAAAAATACTTAAAATATTTTATAACATCTATAAAAGCATCTAAAATATTCTATATTATTCACAAATAATGTTTGAAGCTACCTAAATTTTTCTAAACTACCCGTAAGAAAAACATGTCTGAAAATTCTTCATTTAACCTTCATAAATGTATATATGTAGAGAGAGAGAGTAAATGTGTACAAAAATTTATACAAATAATATTAAAAGTATCTAAAATATTAGTTATTAGACAGGTAAAATTTAATTTTTTAAAAATATCTAAATAAATAATGGATTTATAGTAGTAATTAGACTTTTATATATTTATCTTTAAAATTGTTACGATATATGAGGGATGAGATTTTTTTGACTCGTGGAGATGGAATTTTGTAAACTGGGTTATGAAATTTTCTTAAACTCGTCCATATTTATGCAATGATTTTTTTGAGCTGGGTATATAGATTTAAAATTGTAAAAAAAAAACTTTCATAGATCATTTGATTTGGTATTTTTGGAGAACTTCATTAATTTAAAAGTGTAAAATAAATAAATAAAAAAAGTACAACTGAAAAAGTTACAACCAATTGTAATGATTAGATTTTATATGTAAAATAAAATAAAAAATAACTAGAATAGTTTTACGTGTTGCAATATTTTTCTTAGGAACTACATGGATATTCCTAAATTAATATTGCATACCAATATTTTAGGAACTAATTAAATGCTAATTTGATTTGCATACCCAAAATATTAGATGCATTAATTAAATACTTGATAAAATTAAAAATTTATTAATTAAGTTTAACTTTTCTTACTATATTTAGTAAATAGGATTCCTTTGACATAAGTATAGATTGATTTGCTAATCATGTACGATAGATAAAAATGACCATCAACATTTTTTTAGGCCCAACCCAATACTCCAAGCCATAAACGGGCTACTTTACCCCCAACAAGAAAAGCCCACTAACCATTTTGAGGATGATAGCGTAACTTCAATATACCACCGTAGCTTCTCGAAACCTGAGAATTGAGAACCCTCGTCGCAACCCCCAAATCACCTCCTTCACGCAGCTCCTCCTCCGCCACCGGCCGCAGTTTTTTCCCGGCGCCGGAAAATTCCCATCCGTTCACCGATTTTTCACAGGAAATTTTTGGTCCATAGATCGGAAAAAGGAGGAAAAAATGCCTCCCAAGCAGCAATCGAAGGCGGACTTAGCGAAGAAGCAGAAGGTCGTCGAGGACAAAACATTTGGATTGAAGAACAAGAACAAGTCGAAGAATGTTCAGAAATACGTACAGTCGCTCAAGCAGTCGGTGCAGCCCAAACCCGAACCGAGCAAGCTCAATGCCCAGGTCGAGCGCGTTTATTTTTCTATTTTATTTTTGTAATTTGTGTTCATCTGCAGTTAGTTGTGTTTGCGTTTAATGTTTGTAATGATAATATGATTGTTGTTTGGGTTTACCAGAAGAAGAAAGAGGAGGAGAAGGCTAGAGAGAAGGAGCTACAGGAGCTGTTTAAAGTTGCTGTAAAACAACCTAAAGTTCCTGTTGGTAAATTTCTCCAAATTATTTTCAGTGGTTTATAATTATTAAATTATTTAGCAATGTGTATAGAAGTGGGTTTTGATTGAATATTACCCATGGAAATTTACTACATTACGTTGTATTCGAGTTTCGTTTCGTGTGTGCTATCTAGCAATGTATCACGAGGTGGGTTTTGATTGAATATTAGCGGTGGATATTTACTATGTTTACGTTGTACCTTGGTGTCGATTCGTGTGTGGTTTGGTTTTTGATTTCATTTTAAAATTGTTCTGTGGGTTCAGAGTAGTGATGTAAAGGAGTTTTCTGGTTGGTGGGAAGGGAAAAAAAAGCTAGTCGATCATATTAAATATGCTATTGTTTTCAGGTGTTGATCCAAAGTCGATTGTATGCGAGCATTTTAAGGTTGGGCAATGTGCGAAAGGGTTTAAGTGCAAATTTTCTCATGACCTGAATGTGCAGAGGAAAGGAGAGAAGATAGATATCTATAGTGATAAGCGCGATCAAGGTTCATATTCGTAGTTTCTTTTACTCGATTTGATTTGTTCCGGTTTTTGTAGTAGTTTGCTGTTGATATTTCCTATGTATTTCTGAACCCATTACTTTGTATCCAAATGAAAAAGAACCAGAAACTATGGAGGATTGGGATCAAGAGACATTGGAGAAAGTTGTTGCGTCCAAGAGCAATGAGTACAACAAAAACAAGCCTACTGATATAGTAAGACATTCTTTCATCCGTTGGCTATGTTATTAAGCTATCTCCTGGGTTTGGATATGATGAGAGCATTGCTTCTACAATTTGCTACTCAATTGTTCTTTCATGTGATTCTACACTACACATGAATATTTCATTAGTTACTACAAGATGATGATATGCTTAGTAGGAGCAACCTTCCTAAAAGAAAAATAAAAATTGTAGAAATGCCTATAGAGGTTCACTATTCTGGAAATAGGGGCTGATGTTGCTGCATCAGCAAATGTATGCAGAGGTATCAGCCTAGCTGGCAAGGGACAGCCAAGCTAACAAAACAGACAGAACTTATGATTTTTGTTAATGATATTGAAAAAATGTTTTTGTGATTGGTAAAATAAATTCTTTTGTTTAGTTTAGTTCCACCAAATGGGAGCCATGAGCATTTTCTCATTCATTTTCTTATATTTTAGAAATCATTTAGGTCATGCTTGGCTTCCTGATATACTTGTATGCCCATTTTGTCCTTTTGTTTTCGCACCAACATTTGCTTATTCTTTAACTTCTCATTGTCTTGCAGGTATGTAAATACTTTCTGGAAGCAGTTGAGAAGAAGCAGTACGGTTGGTTCTGGGTCTGCCCAAATGGTGGCAAAGAATGTCACTACAGACATGCTCTTCCCCCTGGATATGTTCTAAAATCTCAGATGAAAGCTCTTCTAGAGGAGGAAAGTGAGAAGATATCCATCGAGGAGGAGATAGAAAACCAGGTAATGCTATAGCTACAATGCATCTTTTCCCTACATTCTTCCAACCAAATGCAGTTAATCATTTTTTTTTTATCTAATTTACAGCGTGCAAAAGTGACTACCACAACGCCTATGACTCCAGAGTTATTCATGCAATGGAGGAAGAAAAAGATGGAGGAGAGGGAAGCTGGTCTGGCTGCACAGAGGGCTGAGAGAGCTAAGAATGACCGCATGAGGCAAGTGAAATCTTGAGTTAGAGTTTTAGTACTTTTACCTGCAGGGGTTCTGTACACAAAATGATTATTGCTTTTTTTTTTTCCTCAGTGGTCGTGAGCTGTTTCTATCAGACGCCAGCTTGTTTGTTGATGATGCTGAAGCTTATGATAAATATCAAAGAGAAGAAGAACCAGATGTTGATCAAAAGGTAATCGTTTCTCAATAAACCCATAAAATATTACCAGTGATATTATGTGTTTCTTTCCTCTGAAATAATTTGGCTTCAATTAAGTGTAAGGCATGCTTTTTATATAAATGCAAATTTTTATCGGGGCACTTCAGTTTTTCATTTATTTTCTGTAAACAATAAGCCTTTTTTAGTTTAAGACTTGCATGTTACCCAAAATGATAGAATGCATTTTTTTTGCTCTTATAGAAAAGCTCTAATAGCTTGAGGCTTGATTAAGGTTAAGAATATTTTACCATTATAGGAGTTTAGAATCTTTTAAAGAACAGTGTTCTCCAACTAATCAAATTCCTTGTTAAGACTGAAGAAGAGCCTAATGTGACCAAATCATTTATGAAAAACTGGTCACATGACACATAATTAATTTTGTCCCTATCTTCATAGGAAAAGTACACATAATGTTAAAGAATCATGGATAGTCTGATTGCACTAGCAGTTAATTCGTCTTGTATCTACCTACATGTACAGTATCTTTTTCGTTAATTTTGTTTTCCTTTCATTTACTGAGCACACACTCATCTGTTCAGGTCAATAAAGATCCATCACTCGATCGACCAAGTTCTTCTACATCAACCGTACGTGATGCTGAATGTAATCCCGATGATGATGATGACGGCGACGACGACGACGATGATCTCGACATTGATGAGTTAAACGAGCTAGAAGCCAGCCTGTCTAGAACGACATTACAAATCAAAGAGCCAGGTGGTGGCAACGTGTGAATGCTAGTGGCTTGGATTCAAAATCTCAGAGCACATTTTTGACTCAGGGTGCTGTTTGTGTTTTGAAAATATTGGTAAATTGCATAGGCATAGGCCCTCTTCTTGATGCCAGCTTTTGATTGTGAGAGGAAAAGAGCCCTTTTTATGCCCAGTGGTGGTATTTTGATAGCTTGATAGCAAAATCTTTTATGATCCTCTGCTGTGCAAAATGAATTATTGTCCTTTACTTCTGAATTTGTGTTGGAGTTTCATCAGGTACCCAATAAAGTCGAATGAGACTGTTATTATCGATGTTGTTATTTCGGTTATCACAAATTCTTATGCACGATTTCAAAATGCTACCGAGCTGCAAGATCCGACAAAATGTGTACATTTACATTTCATAAATTTGATGAAATACTGGAAACCATGGATTCCATTTTTTCAAGCTTGTTCCAACGAAACCATTGACAAATTCACAGCAATCGGAACATATAAGATCCGTTCATCATGGGTGTGCACAAGATGAACTCACTTAATCAGGGCTAGTAATGTGTAGAGTAAAAGAAAACTAACTATTACAATTGCCCCAGCTAGCGTGAACCGTGGGCTGGTCCATAGCATAAGATTAGACCTCTCAGTTCTTTTGATCGGGTCGATTTCTTCTGACAATGGATACTCGGAACGTTTTGGGTTCCAACTCACGTATTTGTCCGGTGAGAAATTTGAGAACAAAGTCTTTTTTCCTTGCCTTTTGAAGCTCGACCAAGCCTTGTCCCAGTCCATTGAATACTTATTACCTATATTTGAAGTGACAAGGCCAAAATAAGAGTAAACTACTTCAATATTGTCAATAGTTATTCACAAATTCAAAGATCATGGTCATGTACAAGCTTGTTTTAGGGGTGCCACATAAAAATATCACCAAGCAACAAATATGCATTACTATTAAACTGAAATGTCACTCTAAAATATGCATTTTGTTTGTTAAAAAGGTAAATATAAGTATGCAGTGTTTTGTTAAAAAAGTATGATGGTTCGACGTATCTAATGGTTAGACCCTTCACATAATAATTTTTTATTTTTTTTTCTTGTAGATTTCACGTTGGGCGAGCGTAACACCTATATAACTCTATACATAAATATGCATATTTTTATTAAAAAATGTCATATTATAGAAAACAACATAAACAAAAGTATGAAAAATTGTAACATAACGGCCACGAGACTAAGATTGCAATAAAAAAAAAAAGTTTGGAAATACAAGTACTAAGTTGAATAATGCAATCTTTATCAGTCCATTTCTATTATATCATTTTAATGTTCGATATTTAAATAAATAATAAAAAGTCCATAGTTGTTAGAATTAAGTTGTAGTTAAATAGAAATAGTAATTAAAATACATATACTTAGAATTAAACAATGACCTACCTCGTTATATTTTCGTTGTTTGTTTATACTTTTTAGTATGTTCACTTTATTATTTAAATATTTATATTATGATATTAACATTATAATATTTGTACGAAATAATTCTTAGATGTTATTTTTGAATTCATTCAAATATTATGATAATTTTTGAAATCAACCATCCAGTTTTATTATATGCAAATATATTTATAACATTTCCATAAAAAAAAAATTATACTCAAATAGCTTACACTACGCTATTTACGCTACGCTATTTACGCTACGCAGCATAAAGACCAAAACACAACGAATTACGTTATACGCGTTTTAAAACACTGGTGGTCAGTTAAGATCATGTGAGTAGATGAATAGTGATTTAAAATTGATGTAATGTGTAATAATGATCGATTGTTATTATTTAATTATATTGTGAATAGTAGAATTAAATTAGAGTTGATTCAGATTTAAGTTTTAAAAAAAAAGTGATTCGTAAAAAATGATTGGACTTTTTGGGAAAAAAATTGTATCCAAGCATCCCCTAACGATCGGATCGACTGTCTTACTGTTAGACCTAACTCACATGAGAATTTGTGTTTCCCATTACATTTGCATGTACAGTACTCCCACATTAATAGAAATTTTCCACCTAATAACAAAGATCAAACCACAACTCTACAATCAATAGAATTTTCATCCCAGGCTTTTCTTTTCTTTTTCTTTTCTCCCTTATTTCGGTGAAATGATCCGAAATTCTATGACACCACATGTGGCACCATAATATGATGCGACATGTGGTGTCATAGAATTTCTGTGAAACGATCAACAAATTTCATGAAAATTTGGGGGAAAATAAATAAGTTTGTGTACCTTTACTGTCGCCAGCGTCGCCGTCTCCGTTTTTCCGGGGCGGCGGCGGCGGCGGCGTTGGCGTTTTCGAGCAGAAGGGTTTGAGAATTTTCCGATTTGATTTTATGTTCCGTAGATTTTGAGAGTAAAGACTCCCGATTTGAAGTCGAGTATCCATTGCTAAATATCTTCTTTGCTTTACAAAAAAAGATGCAGTGAAAAAAAAAATGGAAGAAGGGGAAGAATTTTGGAGAGGTTGATATATGAGGTAATGTGGTTTTTCAGTTGAGAATGTAAACCACATACATATGGCTATGGCTAGACCTTTTTTTTCATTTCCTTTTATTTATTATTTATATAAAAATCTTTTTTTTTTTTTTATAATTTATTTATTTATTCCTTTTCCATTTTTCTGATTTAGTATAGTTGTCATTTCCTTTAAAATTTCATTAACACTTTTATTTGTTATTCATTTTTCATATATAATTTTGAATTATTGTTGACTTTATAATCTTAAAAGATATTTGTTTTTGGAGTACTAGTACGTACCCCGTGCAATGCACGGGACATAGATATTAAATGAATTATTTTCAGACAACTTTGTTCGTTTAAGTCTAAAAATTAATAGGGTTATCATATATTTTTCACTTGTATATTAGGGTTAGCTTGTAAAATAATTAATATATTATCTATACATATTTAATTCTTTTTTTATCGGTTACATATTTATTTCTTAATTTGAAATAAAAAAAAAAATGTTTGACCTGTTGAGTATTAAATCAACACTAATTAATTTATTAAGCAAATGAAGACGCAAAGCAAGACAATTAATTATCCAGTAATTTAGAGTAATATGTAGTTATTTCTTTTTATTAAACATGATTTTTAAAAATAAAACAACATCAGCCCCAAATAATAGGCAACATTCATGGTTTTGGTTGAAAACCAAAATAACAAAATCCTTAATTAATGGGTAGAATTTAATGTTGCCTTTTTTATAAAAAAAAAATAAAAAAGAAAAAAGAAAAGTTACTAAGAATGGAATGTAATTAATGCAAAATGATTTTGACCAAAATTTGACCTGCTATTTTTGAAAAATGGTAAATCTTTATATACGTGAATTTATTTTATAATGTTGCATATATAAAAAATGGACTTAAATGTATTGTAATATCCAAATAAGAAATTAGTATTGTCTCTCGTCTTCGTCTCTACACAATCCCTGCATCGTCGTCTTCTGCTCGAGCCTTCTATTCTCCCCGGCGGTAGTCCGGGTTAGCCGGAGAACGTACTTCGCCGCTCACCCTCGAATTGGCCTCGTCTCTCCATTTCAGCCTCCGCCGACCGATGCACCTAGGGTTTGCAGATCCCCTTTCTGCGCCCTTCCTTCGGGTGCTTCGACGGGAGTGGGCTGGACGGAAGACGGTGGCTGGTGAGGGGGTGAGGTCGGGTTGCCGTGGTCGGACTGATGGGCTTGGTGCTTCAAGCTGGATTCAAGGTACGCTCGATTGGTCCTCGTGGCTATCTCGCCATCGATTGGCACGGGTCTGTTCCGTCGGCATTTTGGTGACTGTAAGATGTGAGTTTTCTCGACTGCGTATCGTGTGTTGGCTGCCTTCTACGAATGCCAATTTGTCTCGGTTTGCTTTTGGTTGCTGTCGGCGGGTGCCTTGTTTTATTCCGGCGGGTTTTGGCTCTGTCCATCAGGCTGGGTGAGGCGGCTGGCTTGGATCATTCAATTCCCCTCTCCCGGCTCTTTGTCTTGAGTTTTGGGGGTCTAGCCGGCTTCTGAATGAGCTGGGGTTTCGGCGATTTCGGGTCGGCTCGGTTCTTGGCTTGAGGTGTTTTCCGGGTTGGGGATGAAGTGGTTTCTGCGGTTGGAGTGAGGGTCGGCTATTGGGAATAATTCGGGGCTTCGGTCTCTGGGTTCGTTAGGCCTTTCGCAGTGGTGAGCGGGGTTCCGGTGCTTTGAATTCTCCAGTCACAGGCTTAGTTCGATGGCCTTCTTGGAAGTCTCTGCTGAGGGAGGGATGCCTTTTAGTTGTTTGGTTTAGTTTTTTTTAGTGTTTTCTGTTTAGGTTGTGTTGTTCTCTTTTCTGTTTCGTGTTTTAAGTTTGGGCCGTTGGCCCCGGTTTGCCGTGTTTCCTGCTATTCTCCTGTTGGGAGCCGCCTCTTGGGCATTCTTCCAGTGGGAGTTCGGTTGCGAGTGTCTTGTATTCTTAGTTTGGGTTGTTGACCCCGGTGAGCCCGAGTGTCAATTTATATGCCCGAGTGTCACCTTATTACCCTGCTGGGGTCCGACACTCGGGTATTACTCTGTTGGGGTCCGACACTCGGGTAGTTGTTTTAGCTTGTTATAGTTGTTTGTGTTGCTGGTTAGTTTAGTTGTGAGTTTTTTATTCTAGCGTTGCTAGCGGGTTTCTAGGCGGTCTTTTGACATGTCCTCCCACTTTATTCTCCCATTGGGAGCTTTGTATCTTTATTCGCACGTGTGCGCTTTTGATTTATAATACTTCCTCTATCATTTTGGAAAAAAAAATAAGAAATTAATATCGATTTATTCATACAATAAAATGTAAATATATGTATGATAAAATTTGCTATTTATCGACCATCAATATCTAACTATGAATCTAATTAATTAATATGTTCTTATTTTTATATTACATAAACTTTAATAATTATATTTTTATTTGATATTCAATTACAATCTTAGATTTATTCATTTCTTCGAAAACTATCTTTTTTCACTTTTTTTTTAAACGATAAAATTATATATAAAGACTTAATATAACTAATACAATCGGAATGTCAACTGACATCACAAAGACTAGGATTAGCTTGGACCCAATTAACTTCCCTTGGACTTACACACGCCTGTAATAGAGTAGCATACAACCAATACACTTCGAAAAAAGAAGACTGCAAAATCCAAACACATAAAAAACTAACAAAACACACTACAAAAAGAACAACACGCACCTACAAAACATAAAGTACAACATCTCCTACTTTTAAAGGGCCTCTGACAGTTGCTATGAGTCCTAAGCACACGAGTCAATCTCCAAATCGAAAGACAAGAAGGGATTAGTAGATCTCTAACTCCCAAACTCGTAGACTCCAATCACTTGAATGACTATGCAGATTTAGCAGAGAGTCGAAACCCAAGCCAAGATCTGATCTCCTCAGAAGCCTTAGACCGAGACAGGCCTGAAGCCCAAAGAGTCTCCAGTCTCATCGGCAGGAGCCGCCAACACCAGACTCAACCCCGACTGTAAAGGGGCGGCCAAAGAACCTCCGCCACCCATCTCCCAAACAAAGGCGAGTTGCAGAAGTGTTGTGGAAGGGTGACTCTGTCGCCGGCCCAACCATGGCCGGAGGAAATGCGCAACTGAGTTCAACCTCTGCAAGAAAGAAGCGGATAGACATATCTGATTTTTTTTCCACTTGTGCATAAGAAATTTTAGAGATTTAAGATCTTGTAGGATCCTTGGCTGCTAACATCTGAAGCTCGAGTCCCAAGTAGAAGATAGAATGTTGAGACTGGGGTACAAGAGGTCTGGAAGCTCATGGAGGAACGTGGTAGGAGTGTAACAAAAAAATTTATGAAAAACATAAAACTTTTGTACAACTTGATTTTATTTCGATCAAACGATATGCGGGTACAATCTCTATTTATCTCCTCTGATTCTTCTCTTCATGGATTTGGGTTTGGATCTTCAAATATGGATTGAGCTTGAATAACGTTGACTCGAGGGCTTGATAGCTTTTTTCTCGAATCAAACGCTATGTTGGTTGAACTTCTCAACGAACGGGGTTTGAATGTCACTTGAACGTCGTTGATATTCTTGGATTGACTTGAGAAGTGTGAAAGTCGTCTCTTTACTTCTTGGGGAAGAGTCGCCGCCTCTTTTTCTTCTTCTTGGCCTTCTTCTTCATTGAATGAACTTCGAGCGGTTCTTCAAGAACTTCTTCAAATCTTCAAGAGGGTTCTTGAGAGCCCTGTGTTAGAGTAGTATACCCGGCGTTCCAATCAGATTGGACGTATTCTACTTGAAAATACAATCTATTGGAATTATATTAATTAAAAGGCATTACTTTATCTTAAGAGTAAGCATTTATCATATAATTGCACTTAAGATAAAATCCCTAAATCACTTATGGTTATAAGATATGGTTGCGCATAGAGATGATAATCATGGAACATATCTTGAAAGCCGTGATCTTAAATAAAGTTCCAATTTCATGGATGTTTCGAGATGGGATATCGAATAATCCATAAAAGAATTTCACATAGTATGTATGCTTGTTGGACAAGAATGTTGCATTCCATCAACATTAGCGTGAGACGCAAGTACATATATGTGAGTGCTTGTTAGAGAACAAGTTCACTGAACATGACCGTATGAAAATACTTAATGAAAGATTTGTCTTGTCGAATAAGTAATTTCATGTTACAATAGTACATGATTGGTTCTTAGACTTAAGGCACAATAGTAACTTTGTGCATATTACATTCTACTTTGATTTATCCTTTTGGTTGCTAGCACTATCGTATAAAGGGATATTTTGGGTATTATGTTAATATGTATGGAAGTTTGTTAGTGGCCAACAAAGGATTCGACACTTATGAAGATAAGTGAATTTCCTATGTGTTTCATGATTAGTAATTCAAAGTCCTTGGCCAAGGCGGGGTGAATAGAAATTCATAAACGAATTACTAACCTTGAAATGGAATCATAGTTATTAAATCAATTTGGGTTTCGACTAAAATCATACCCAAGATTTAATCGGGAAATTGGATGTCGAAAGGATTTTACATGTATGTAATTGTAATTGAAATAGGTTTACTCGCTATTCACTTAATACTAGATTCATGCTACTTGCTAGGTGTTCCCATGATATGTGGGTTCATGAATTAAAGGGTTAATTCATGAATAAGAGTTAATAAAGATTAACTCAAATTACAAAGAGTTGTAAACCCACTACTAGTATTAATTGTGAACCTAAAAGGTCACACCAATTTTCGAATGAAGGTAAAATTCAAATAGTAATTTTAAAGAGTTAGAATTAATTGATTAATCTAATTTGATTAGATATCAATTTATGGAATATATTAAATTAATCAATTGGATTGATTAATTGAATTTTGGATATTAATTTAGTAATTAATAGAAT